CACGGAATCATAGGCTTTCTTGAGGTCTATAAATACAAAGAAGCCTTTGCAGTCGTGCTCAATGGTCTTCTCGAGGAACTGCCGAACACTGAAAACCATATCTGTGCAAGATCGGCCACGACTGAAGCCACACTGAGATTCTGGGAGAAAATCTGCAGCCACGGACTGGCAGAACCTTGCCCACAACATCCGGCAGTGAGATACCCGCCAATTATCACAGCGAGATAAATCCCCTTTCTTTGGGATGGGGACCAACGTGGCGTCCACCCACTCCTGCGGGACCACCCCAGTACGCCACACATCGCCAAACAGCTCCACAGGCCTGGCGGTGAGGTCAGGGCCACCACTCTTCAGCATCTCAGGGAGGATGCCAGAGGCTCCAGCGGACTTGCCATTCTGTAGGCGGGAGATAGCGCGACTGACTTCACGGAGAGTCGGCGCCTCAGAAAGATGGTCAGCCTCCTGTCGCTGTGGGATGTCCTCCAGGGCATTGTGATTCCACGCACTTGCCACGTTGAGGACACCGTCAAAGTGTCTTCCCCACCGGTGGCTCTGCTCCTCTGGTGAACTGCGCAAACACACACACATGCACGCACGCACGCACGCACACGTGCACACACACAAACACACACGCACGCACACACACACACACAAACACACACACACACACACAAACATGCACACACACACACACACACACACACACGCACACATGCACATACACACTAACGCAGACAAATCAGAGCCAGACGTGTACCCCTAAAAATTTCCACCTAGGCTCAACATGCACATAATGACCATGAATGACATGCACCAGCCATCCTACACATATGGGGCCATGCACCCCCTCCCCCCCCCAAAGGGGGGGGACCAGCTACGCCCCTGTGCAGAGTATATAGAGTGTGGTATCCATTTATGGGTAAGTGTAACGCGACCGCGACAATACCAACACCATGGGAAACATTGATACAGTGTGTACAGTGTGCTATGAGATGCTGTAACAAATAAATAAATAATAAATAAGTATAAATGTAACGACTGAGGGCGCGTTTGGTTGGTATGAACTAGAACAGGATTCACCAGAACAGCGCGTTTGGTTGGGACTGCACCTGTTCTGGGTCGGCCAGAACATGTTCTGCTTGCTCCGGCCTCCAGGCCGGAGCAGACCGAGCAGTTTCACTTTTTCACAGTGAAACCTGGCGGGAACGTCGATTTTGGTCCCAAATGATCACGTGCATACGCTTTTTGGGTTGGACTCGTTGTACCGTACAAAGTGACCATGGTGACCCATACACATTTTGAAGAATGCACCAAGTTTGGCACATTTTTCCACAAAAATGTGCTCTGTTTCTGGAGTACCGTTTGGTTGGCATGAGGCTGCTCCATGTGCACCAGCTGTTCGATCCTGTTCTAGATCGTACCAACCAAACGCACCCTGAGACTAAACTAGTCATGGGCCCGTCGTCCTAGTCCACGTTCAACGAAGCGCCAATGGCCGGCGGAGAATTCAGGGGCTTGGTCTGACTCCTCGCAGTGTTGGAACCCGGCTTGAGTTTTCTGAGGTGTGCGTTCACACCGAAGACCACCGAACGAGCTTGCACGGTGCCCAGGGCAGCTTAACAATGCGTTGCTGAGCGACAGCAAAGCGCTTGGCCGAGTATCACGCTACGCATGCAATGCAGCTCTAGTGCTAGTGCTAGCGTAGGGTATGGCGCCACCCTCGTGCTGCGGGCATCATGTTACCCTTGCGCTGCGGGGTACCACATTACCTTTCACTGGAATCAGGTCCACGCTGCGCATGCCTGGTGTTCGCCTTCCGATGGCCAATTTACACTACTATCTGTGGCTGGGATAGGGTTGTGCCTGTGGGCGAATGTGACTGATGTCGGCTGATTGTCCATGCACCATGCTAGCATGCTGTAACTGGTGAGGATACTGCTGATTGCCCATGCACAATCCTACCATGCTGTCACTGGTGACGGTACTGCTGATTGTCCATGCACAATCCTAGCATGCTGTAACTGGCGAGGGTATGCGGTTGTTGTCCACAGCACCGGCTGCTCGTGCAGCAATCGGGTTAATGCTCCCAGCACTGCAAGGTGATGAGGAATAAAACTGGAAGTCTATTTTGAAGTCTGTTTTTTTCTGTTTTGAAAGAGTGCTTTAATTGTATGCCTGTTCCTTCCCCTCCTTCAGCCCATATTAAGTCTTGTTTTGAAAGAGTGCTTGCTTGTGTGTTCCTTCTCCCCTCCCTCCAGACTCCATTAAGATAGTGTCGTTTGACTCAAATTCGATCAAGATCCGTTGGCAGGTAAAGTTAGATTGGTGGTGCACTGTGTTCTGCTGTGTACTGGTGGTTCACGGTGGACAGAAAGAGAGAGAGAGAGAGAGAGAGAGAGAGTTCATCTCCGCTGGTTGACAAAGGATGCCTGGCAAGGCCATGGAAAATCATGCATTTGGGTTATTGCTTGCCTGTTTTCTTTTGTTTGTACCTTTTGTCCTTCGCCAATGGAAGCAAGCCAATATGGCGGCAATGGCGAGATGGAGGTGGTCACCCATCCAAACTCGATGCAGAAGACAATGGTCTCTCATGCAACATTAAATTGTGCCGTAAAGTACTGCGAGAGCTCCCCACCATCTCGTCCTTCCGTGGTCGTATTGTGGAGGTGGTGTCCTGTCAGGAGGTCATACGACACGAACCTTGTACACACATTGCACATTGTGCAGTCAATCCATACTCAATTTACCTTCGAGCAGACACGACACACAAAAACTTGCTAAGTGTGACCTTAGACTAGGGTTCTCACACCGTACAAACTTCATCACACTCTGCCATACGATTTATCCTTTCCCTGGCTGTAAAATCAGGGTGGGCTCTCTCGTGGTACTTTACGGTATAGTTGTAGTACGTTATTTTGTGTACGTCGTGTGTACGTCATGTTGGTGCATGCGCGTGTCGCTGTGGTGTAAAAAGCAGTCTTCGTCTTGAGTTCGTCATGTCTAGTTGTGTTTCCGTGGTCGTCTTGCAATAAACAGTCTTTCAAATGTAGCTATCGTCGTCCCTTTGTATAAGTGTGGAGATGGCACGGGACTGGGAGCAGGCGGAGAAAAGGCAGTTACAACATTGGTGGCAGCGGTGGGATTCGAACCCACGCCTACGGTATGCCAAACAGTGCAACTAGCTGAAGTCTATGATCAATACCGCCCAGATCACAGCTTCAGATATTGGTCTTAAGATACATGTTTCAAAATGCTTCATGTACCGCACCCCAGCTCCTATGTAAGACGTACACAAATGGCAGGTGCGTGGACAGTGAGGGAGAGAGTAAGAGAGATAGAGATAGAGAGAGAGAGAGAGAGAGAGAGAGAGAGAGAGAGAGAGAGAAAGAGAGAGAGAGAGAGAGAGAGAGAGAGAGAGAGAGAGAGAAAGGGGGAGAGAGACATCAGATTCAAAAAATTGTCATCGTCGGTCTGCAGACTCCCCGCCATGGCCTTGCTGACGCCTGGCCAAGCCTGGACCATGCACAGCAATCGTTCGGCCCTGCTGACGCCTGACCATAACCCGGGCCATGCACAGCAATCGTCTGGCCCTGCAAGATGCTCTAGTGCCACTAGACACGGAAACAATCATTGTGAGAGTCTTTGCTCGCAAGCTACTTGAACTAGACCGCAAAACTAAAGTTTGAACGAATTTGAGAAGATGATCGCCACCGGTTCATGAATGAAGCGCAGCGTGAACGCGCTCGACAAAAACATTTCTTTCATTCCATGATTTCTCATTTTTTTACGACAACCCAAAGACATGTTTTAGCTGAACGCGGCCCATAAAATAAACATCATTGTGCAGGAGAAATAGTTCTTTATAGCCAAAGTTCGTTTCAACAGAAATGCACTTGCACTATACAAGCAGCAAGTCATGACAGGCATGTGGCCCATGACTGTATGAGTGCACTTGGTTTACATTCAGCCCTTTAAAAGATTTGGTTGGTGTGACTTTGGCGATAGTTGGAGATATGTGTGTACCTCCCTACATGGGAGCTTGCGGTTTTCCTGCCGACTTGAATTCCAACTTGACTGACTCACGACTGCCATCCAGAGCGCACGAGAAGTCCATCGAACCGTCCACTCGGCAAACCTCAAGCTCAAGCTCAACTGATGAGGGGTGAATTCCCCGAAACACTGCGTATTGAGCAGGGAGTGGTGCTTTCTTGCAGGTTTGCCGAGTGGACGGTTCGATGGACTTCTCGTGTGCTCTGGATGGCAGTCGTGAGTCAGTCAAGTGAGAATTCAAGCCGGCAGGAAAACCGCGAGCTCCCATGTAGGGAGCAACATACACTTCCTCTAAAGGGGAAGTATACCCTAAAATCAAATTTTCACCAAATGTAGTCTTCGGGGTGCTGAGTCGAATGGTCTTGGTCCGAGGAAGCTGAGACGCTCCCTTCCTCCTTTATTCCCAATCGAACTCGCGCACTTCCACCGAAACGAGGTGACTGCGCCCTACTAGATAGGGATTTGTATGCAAAAGTCACTAAAAACGCCGTTTCGTTCTTATAAAAGTACGGATGACCACGATTGGTCCATATGTTGTAGTCTTTTGGCCGCCGAGTCGACTGGTTTTGGTCCGAAAAGGCTGCGATGCAGCGTTCGGCCCTTATTCCCAATCGAACACAGTTGATCAAGCAGTCACGTGCTCATGCGTCCACCAGTCACCTGGTCATCGTGCCCTCAGTAGGCCCAGACAGATTCTGCTCCGCTCGCCTCGATATTTTGCCGCAAAATGTTGCTGCGAAATCTTCGATATTTTGCCGAGCCTGGCACTAGAAACTCGATATTTTGCTCCATTTTGCTCCGGAAAAACGTGTATTTTATCCACTTCCCGTACAATGTTTCATAAAAATCGCAGGGTCGGTTTCTCAACACGGGTTTCCACGCACGTTTATTTTATTTTATATTTTTACTGAATACCACAGAACCATCAGATGCTGCACAGCGGGGGCGGTGGCGTATTGGATGGAAGTGGGGGCGGGGCAAAAGTAACTCCTCCAACCAAAGGTCTCGGAATCATCGTTACTCCTGTGCGCCGACGTGTCCCTGAGTTCTTCCAAAATCATGTCGATCCACAGTGAATCCCTGTGATATTTCGGTGACATGATCTTGTCCTGGGCAGTGTGTCCTGCTGAGCGGGTAAGAAACAAGGAAATCCAAGTATCAGGCATCGATTTTACCCAACATATTTTGCTCCGATTTTGCCGAATTCCCCTCTTTCAATTCTTCGATATTTTGCCGAAAGAATTGCCGGCAGGATCTGTGTGGGCCTAGCCCTCCGGCTACAATTTACAACCTGTTTGGGCCCGTTCCTGTCACTTGAGTTGAACCTTTGAACCAGGGAGTCGTAAAAGCCTCTTACGACTCCCTGCTTTGAACCTTTGAGTTGAACCTTGATGTAGCCTGCAAGCATGGTGACCAGGCGACTGGTGGACGCATGAGCACGTGACCACTTATTCAACCGTGTTCGATTGGGAATAAGGGCCGAACGCTGCATCGCAGCCTTTTCGGACCAAAACCAGTCGACCCGGCGGCCAAAAGACTACAACATATGGACCAATCGCGGTCATCCGTGCTTTTATAAGAACGAAACGGCGTTTTTAGTGACTTTTTGCATACAAATCCCTATCCAGTAGGGCGCAGTCACCCAGTTTCGGTGGAAGTGTGCGAGTTCGATTGGGAATAAAGGAGGAAGGGAGCGTCTCAGCTTCCTCGGACCAAGACCCTTCGAATCAGCACCCCGAAGACTACAACTGGTGAAAATTTGATTTTAGGGTATACTTCCCCTTTTTAAGAACTGGTTTGTTATAAACGAAAATGGTTCACTACGAAGGGTCAATTTTGTATAGGGTCAAACTGGGACATGAACACTGGTTCGTTTTAATTTTCACAAAATCCACTACCGTATTTTATCTAATAAAAGCCCAGGTCTCCAATAATAGCCCAGCCTCCAATAATGACCCGGGGTGAGGTTGGTTTGAAATAATAAGAGCACAGTCTCTAATAGCAGCGCGGGACACAGTTGGAGTATGGAACATTTATATTGACTGCATATAAAACAGCAGTACAAGATGCCAAGAACATACTACAGTATTTGTAAGGAGGTTTTCGGTCTACTCCTTCCTTCCTGGCGCCAATGCTATTGTGAAACATCTGTTTTGACAATATTCCTGAGTTTAGGGTTGAAAAATCAGTCTTGATATGGTCAGGTTATGCCCGTATAGACTGGAGTTGGCTTGATAGTTGACAATTGAAAAAATAACAGCCCAGTCTCCAATAATAGCCCAGTCTCTAATAGTAGCGCGGGTAGAGCTGTCACTGAAAAAATAAGAGCCCCGGGCTCTGATTAGAGAAAATACAGTATATGCAAGTTCGTTGTAAGTGGAGTTAACTGTATGTCTGTACAATATGTCGGTGTTTACGTGTACCGTTGGTCTGTGCAGTTATCAGTCTCCATGTTCGAACTCCACCGTGGTGCACTGCGATATGTTCTGGTGTCCTACCAACAAGCGGACCAGCCGGGCACCTCACTGCAGAAGAATGTCTCCGTGAGTGATGGTGACATTAAGGGAAAGTTCGTAATCTCTGGGCTGAAGCATGCCTCCAAATACTTGTTGCGAATCATGTTGAGCAATGGATCTTCCACTAGTGGTATGGTTCGTCTTTCGCAAACAACCCAATGCCAAAGTAAGGAACAAAGAAGGAATTATAATATGTGTGTATGTGTATGTCGGTTGGTATATTTTATTTTACTTCGCCAGAATGAACAGGCATTGCTGCCTTCTTGCCTGGACAAGTGGATTGTCAAAGCTCTCACAAAAAGACGAAGATATGTGTATTCTCATCCTCTGATTATAGAATTGGATTTTCCATAAGGTTATGATCGGTTATCCCCCAGCTCACCGGGTAGACTGTGGCTCACCATGATCGGATGCCCACCACGGCGAACTGGAGGGACTCGAAGGACGACAAACAAAATAGAGACGCTCGCCTAAGGACCAAAACCAAACCCATGCCGTGAAGTACGAAAACTGAGCAGGTACAAACCATCGCAGCAATACGCGCACGGCAGCTTCAAAACCGAACCAATCTACGAAACCGAACACAACCACAAAGACCCTTGCGGATTGTAAACATACTGCCCAGACAAAGCAGAACGGCGTTGGGTTGCCCGGCCCCCGAGTGCTCCCGTGAAGTAAGACTGAACCCATCATCATGCTGCATTGGGATCGACTCACCGGGAATATCCGCTGGACGAACGACCACCGTCTCCATACATGTACAATGTATCACCAAAGTGCGCCGGCTCAAAGTTGAGTAGAATCACCCGGTCGGTGTCCGGTAGAGGATCCACCAGCAAAACAAACAACGCCAAATGCAGACCGTCGGACGAAGAGAAAGGAAAATGTGCAAGGGCATGGCCCAAAAGAAGAGAGAAGCGAAAACAAAAGGGCAATGGCGAGCACGGACTAAACGCCTACTTGAGGACAAGTAGTCAAAAGGCGAGTCCCACGTTGGGCGCCAATGAATGAGAATGCCTTCTCCCCCTGGCCCCTGCCACACAACCACGCAACGTTCTGTTTAGTTAGCTTCTTACTAGTTCTCACAATCATGGTAGGGGCGCAGGAGAAGAAAGGCGAAAGCAAGACTCAACAAAAAGACAATGGGGGAAAAGACACGACGAAGTAAGAAAGAACAAGCATTCAAGCAGTAACACCACGAGGACCAATCGTGATGACCAATCAGGGACCAATACGTACAGAACACATGACCAAGACCAAGACAACCAGACCACGGACAAATCGCACATCACTCTCATTCCCAGACCAAACTCCTTGCAAGTAGCACTGCGCATGTACAGCAATCACTTGACAATCACTCTCACACCGACGGAAGCAGATTCTCACACTCTGACAACGCGTACTCTTGCATGCACCACATACCATATGTGTCACACATCACACCATACTCACACGTACACTTAGACCATAATATATGACATCAGACACTGGACTCTACGAGACAATAACCAAATACAACAACGTGCGTAAATAATACTCGCAGCACACATACTCCGGCATGCACTGGATGTTCGTAGCCACCCAGGAGAATGAAAAAGAGAAGACACCCCAAAATTCCCCGAAACATTGTGTTTTGAGCAGGGAGTGGTGCTTTCTTGCAGGTTTGCCGAGTGGAAGGTGCGACGTGCTCCTCGTGTGCTTCGGATGGCAGTCGTGAGTCAGTCAAGTGTCAAGTTCGGCAGGAAGCGTGTGTTCCTCGTTGTAACAACCAACTTCATGATGTTTCAAAGGATCAGTCGGGGAAGTGAACTGCCTGAAAAGAGAAAAAATCGCCAGACCCACCAGGACTCGAACCTGGGACCCTGCTTGTCATGAGCAATGCTCTAACCACTGAGCTATGGGACCAGGCTGAACCCAGAAGGCGCTGACAAGTTTTTCACTCCAAAGGCAGCTCACAACACGTGCCACACATACTGATGGCACTTGGGTCTTTCTCCCTCCCCCAGGGGACCAACCACGGTCAGTTTCTGGACCCTACCAGAAGTGAAAGAAAAGTGATTAATTTTTGAACGGTGCTCATGACAAGCAGGGTCCCAGGTTCGAGTCCTGGTGAGTCTGGCGATTTTTTCTCTTTTCCAGGGCATAGCTTAAGGATTTCATTTAGCTCGGACAAATGTCCTTCCGTTTTGAAATCTGTCCGGACATGCCCGGACATTTTCCACAACACATTTTCAGGGTGTTTCTTTTTTTTAGTAGTACTGAAGTATATTCACGATGACTCATTATGCGGACGTATCTCACGCGTGAATGGACATATCTGTGCAACGCAGTTACAGATGCGTACAAGGCAGAGTACTGGTGAAGGAAGTTGGCACTGCAATGGTTTGAGCTACATTCTTTGTTGTTGGTACTCTGATTATCCGTATTATCCGTATTCACATGGCCTTTGCCATTCATTCAGTATATTAATGTCATCAATAATGATATTCTTGTTTGTATTAGTTTATGTGACACCATTTTCTATTTTTCTTTGCCTGCCTGCCTGCTGGCGGCCTTTTTTCGCATGGTTCGGTGCAAGCGAATTTGGGCGAGCCCATTGACGCGGGAGCACAAATAATAATAATAATCTCACGCATTACTATGTACAATTCGCCAATTTATTTGTATTAGAAACTGAACTATTTACTGACGACAAATGTATGTACAAGAAAGCGTTGCAGTCAAAAATTTTGCGAACGCGATATGCTCCTTGCAGAGAAGGTAAGAATTTGCGTCGTGCAATAGCGGCAGCACCATCGTCCATCTCGCACAGTGCCTTCGCAATTGGACCGAATTCGAGGGCATTTCGAGCGGGACACTCTTGCCTGCGGAAAGATTCATTCCTCGTTTGTGCATCTCCGTTCCAGCATGATCCTTGAACGCTGATGTTCTCAGGTTCTTGGATCCGGTTATGAAAGCCTCGCTGAAGTTTTTACAACTGCGGACTCTGTCTACAAACTTGATGCACACGGAACACTTCAAACATTCTGCTAACAGCCGATCGTTCTTCTGCCGGTCATAAATCAGCCAGGCGGAAGTAGTCAGCTCTGCATCATTGTCCGAGATCCACTTATCGCAAGTAGCGGCCTTCACACCACGGACTTTTTTGCCCGGCGGCAAGTCCTCTGAATCTCCCTTTCGCTTTCCACAAGACATTCTAAAAGACTATCTGCATTCCTGGTCAGTGAAAGAGTGAAAAATAAAAGATGACATCTTCCTCTCAAGAGCGAACAACTGCATTGCAGTTCAACCCATAGATTCAGGTGCGAAGTCGACACCATGCATGTACCAAAGGTCGAAAGTGTGAATTGACTGTAGCAACCGCGTTGCTACAGGCGGATTATGGTGAAGTCTACGCCTGAGGGATCGAGGCTACAGTGTAGACGTGTTAGTTGTACGATATGCAAGTCGCATTTGGCCTAAGCTCCGAAGAAAGCCCAACTCTGCATAAAAAGGTCGAAAGGTCGCAGCTCTTTTTTTCCTTTTTGACCGGACACTATGTCCGGTGAAATTGAAAACGTCCGGTCAGTGGCCGAAAATGGCCGGAAAATGTCCGATGTCCGGCCGTTAATCTATGCCCTGCTTTTCAGGCAGTTCACTTCCCCAACTGATCCTTTGTATTACAGTCGCCCCTCTCTAATCCGGCACCTTTTGCAACGGCATTTTCTGCTGGATAAACAAGGGTGCTGGATTATGAAATCCTGCCCTCCAACCCGGCCCACATGTTATCATACATGTTTGTGTCATACGTCAAAACGTTGGGATTTTCTGTGTCAAACCAAGTACTTTGTGGAATGCATGTCTATAAGTTATACACTTAGGAATATCCTATGTACTGGCATGGGATATTTCCAAGTGTATGTTGCATGTGTTGTGTATGTTACAATGGTCCCTGACAGTCTGCGATGTACAAAATCGATTGTGGCAACAAACGCGATTAGGCCGGCTGCAGGGACGCCGTAACGTCGCACTCGCCCCAGCACCATTCAAGCAATTCCCTTTGGCAGTTCACGGCACGAACTTCAACAAAGCCCCGTGAATGCGTACCAGGGGAAGGCTAGACAGCATGTCTCTAGACATCAATAGGCATCGTATGAAAAGCCAGTCAATAGCACTAAAGAGCGAAAGCCTTTGTCACGGTTCGGTTTCACTCGCGCACCGGGCCCGAGCTGGCAGCACAAACAAACGCCGGACGCGAGCTGGCAGCACAAACAAACGCCGTACTCACACGAGACCGTTGGGCCAACGGATGGCCACAGCCATCAAAAAGAGGAACAAACTCATCCATGGCTCTTTCTCTTGCTAGCTGTGCTGCTGCGTGCATCCAACTGTTTTGCAATTTCTCCCTCCCACCCACGCCTCCTGGTATTTATTATCGCTCTACACTATCCTACGTCTCACAATGAGTGCCACTCAGCATGATGGTACTCCAAGCTACATTGTATTTGATCTGTCCTACTCCTAGCTCACTATTCTGGACAAAATATTAATTCAATTGCAATGAAGCGGCTTGGTCTGATTCCTAGCTTGTTGGTAACCGGCTTGAGATTTCCAAGGTTGCTATGACAACGTGCAGTCATGCGCAGGGCCACCCAACATGCATTTGGGGGCCCAGGAAAGACAGAAACGCGTTGCTAGGCAACAGCAAAAGCGCTCGGCGAGTATCACGCTACTCTTGCAGCACGCACGTTGGCTTAGGGTATCACGCTACCCTTGCGCTGCGGGGTACCACATTGCCCCTCGCTGGAATCAGACCCGCGCCCCGGATACCTTGCGCTGGCCTCCTGACGGCCAAACTCAACCAACTTGTGCGCTGTGACTGGGGTTGTGCATGCATTAGCAACATAATGTGGCCCAGGTCGGCAGACTTTCAATTAGCCAAGCGAGCTACTCAGGCCAGGGTGCATGATCACTATTCGCAGCACTTATCGTTCATGCAGCAGTCGGGGTAACTGCTGGATTAGAAAATCGAATTATGTACAGTTTGAGTGATTTGTTGCAGAAAATCGCTGCTGGAGGCGGAATTCAAGTGCCGGATTAAAGCGTAGAAAATGAACTGAAAAAATCCGTTTTGCCAGAAAGTGTGCTGGTTTGCAAGGGTGCTGGATAAACAAGTGCCGGATTACAGAGGGACGACTGTATTATCATTATTATTATTATGCGCTTACGCGTCAATGTAAGCGGTGGTAAACTGCCCACAAATTCGCACGTGCTGGATGGACTTAGGAAATGAACACCGAGCATTCGGTGCGGCATGGAAATAAAATCATTGAAAAAACGAAAAAAATAAAGCAACGGCAATAGAAATACAATAACAAGACGTACCTGCTAAGGAGCACATAATCCTGTGTCCGCTTCCTCTGTTCAATCTTTTGCATAGCTTCGGGAATAAAGAGATTGAGTGTGTGCTGCTGCTGCTGTTGCTGCTGCTGGCCTTTTTTTATATTTCATGCAATTCACAGAACCTGGTCATGCCAAGACTTTCACAGCGATTATGATTACCAACACTTCTGCCCGTGTTGACTGGACTGATATTGACGATGGCGGTTGCAACCTTACTAAAGTCACTTTGCGGTACAATATGATGAGTAAACCGCAGACTTGGATGAAGATTGGTATGAATATTCCACCTGTCAGAAGTCATCATCAGGTGCTATATCCTTTGTTGGGGGGCGGCAAAGCCTATGCTTTTCGACTCGTTGCCCACAACGTGGAAGGCAAAGGCGTAGCCACTGACTCAAATGAAGTTGCACTGGGTAAGTCCTTTCAATCTAAGAAAAGCAAGCTCTTGTGACTGTAGGGAAACGTGTGCAGCAGTTATATAACATGTACATTACTGATACGTCTGTCATGGGAGATTACCCTTTTATACAGCTAAATCAATTGTATAGACAG